CTTCCTGTTAAAAGGGAGTTTTTCCTTCCCACTGTCGCCAAAGTGCTGCTCATAGGGGGTCATATGATTGTTGGGTTTTTCTCTGTATCTCTGTATTGTGATTTGGCGCTATATAAATAAAATTGAATTGAATTGAAAGTTTCAGTGTTTCATGTTCTTTGAATCATCTTATTTTTAACAACTTTGCTTAATGTGGTTTCATTATTACATGAGTAATTACAGGAGTGTTGATTTGAATACAAAAAAAGACATAAAACTTGCATCTCAAACACTAACATGCTTCCTCAAGTCACACACCACACAATCCCTCTGGGTCAGAAGCTTGGATTAAGTGTTTCACTAGTGTACATTATGTGTTACCATGACTGTGTAACAGTGACGGGACAATGAAGGTGAGCTCTGTCAGACTGTCTGTGAACATCAGGATGAACCGCTTCCCGTCAAACACACTCCCTCCGCTGTCACCCAACACAGAAGAAAATTCTGGTAGAAAGAAAATAACCAATCAGCAAGAAAAGCCTTAAGAGTGTTCTGTGAATGGCCCAATCAGCAACACATACCGGATCTGCTAGTGCTGACCCTGCCCACCTGTCCCACCTCCACCGGCCAACCAAGAGATGACAGGAAGTCAAGGAAGTGTGAATGGACATTGCAGGCCGACTCCACATTCTTCAGGATCTATACACAAACAGATAATAAAATCAACACAACAAGAGCAACATTTTCACAAAACATTACAACAATTCGCAAATAATTGTATCTAGATCTGACAGTGTGTCATTTTCCACTCAAAATGACACTGAAAGAGAAGAAAACAACCTTAACCAATCTAAAACTATATACAAAATATATTTAATTGAAACAAATGTTGAACGCAGTCAGCTGCTCATTGAAAACTCTATTTAGGTTGCCTCAGCCTCTGTCCTCTGTCCTGCTCCCATGTAGAAGATAAAGGTGGAATCGTAGATTCTTGATGGCTGCTGGTCCAAATTTCTCAGGCTGTCAAAGAAACCAGGAAGAGATGAGTCGAGCGCCACAAGCGGAGCTGGAACACCACTGATACCTGGATCCTACAGAGAGACACAGATAAGCACACTTACACTTGTAAATACAATCAGGTACATAAGTTTTTGGACAGTGACGACATTTTTGCCAATTATGCCTCTGATTTTGATTTTAAATCAAACAATTAACATGGTATTGAAGTGCAGACATTCAGCTTTAAGTCAAAAGTATTACATCAACTGTTTAGCAATTACTTAGACTTAGACTTAGATCCTCCCGCGCCGATCGGCGCATCGGGCGACAAGAGAACGCCATCGAACTCGGTCTATCGCGGCAGTTGTTGCTTCATCCCATGACAGTTCGACTGAACGTAAATCTTCAAGGAAAGCCCTCCTCCATGTTATTTTAGGTCTTCCTC